TTTTTTTTTTTTTTAAAGTAATGAAGCCAGGCAAGGTGGCTTACATCTGTACTCCCAGCACTCTGGGAGGCTGAGCCAGGAGGATCACAAGTTCAAGCGCAGCAAGGCAATTTAGTGACTAACCAGACCCTATCTTAAATAAATAAGTAAGTAAATAAATAAATAGTTAAAAAGGCCTGGGGATGTAGCTCACGGTGATGGCCTGGGTTTAATCTTCAGTACTGGGGAGAAAGGAAAAATATTACTCATTGAGATCAAAATCTCTGTCCCGTCTCTACCCCCCTCCCAACTGTTCACAGAACAGGTCGTGTGCCCCTTGCCATGGAAGTGACCCCTTGACTGCTCTCCTTTCTCCTTAAAAGAAGGAGAGGATGCTCTGCCCCACTGAGCCTGTGAAAGGCTGCCTGAGGCTGCTGGCTGGAAAAGTGCCCTCCGCTGTGCTTCCTCCCCGTCAGGCAGCGCTTGGAGGAGGCTTCCACTGCTGAAGCTGGCTTCTCTGGGGCCGGGGTCAGAGCTCCCTCCCACCACTGACGCTGGGGCGGCCCCCTAGCCGCGCGCTCACCGCGCTGCGCGCTGCGGTCTCTTTGAGGCCGGAGGGCAGACAGAGAAACCAACAGGGTAATCGTTTTGGTAACACTGACAAGCGTCTTTCTGAAATGAAAGGCAAGTGCCTCCGAGAAAAGAAAGGAAAAGAAAAATACCACTCATAGTTAAAGTCTGTGTGTCCAGAACAAGTCTGATGAACAATCAATCACTAAGACATGGATTGCTAGCCGGGGATTTAGCTCAGCGGTTCCAGCGCCTTCCTCCCAAGTGCAAGGTCCCAAGTTCGATCTCCGGTACCAAAAAAAAAAAGGCATGGATTGCTGACTTTTCTCATCTCCACAGGTCTGAGCCGAGCTGAAAGCAGTTTCCTCCGAGGCAGCAACCGCACAGCGTCCCGCAGCTCCACCTTTCCCGCCAGCCTGGCCGGCGCCCTCGCTACAGCGCTGCTGTCCTGCCTCCCTGCTCCCAATCTCCCCAAGGCAAATTGGTCTGTGGCACTGTAGGTGCCATCAGTGGCTCCTCGGAGACAGCCTGACCTCACTAAAAAGATGTGATACTTGTAGTCCTGCCTCACAACTCGGCAATGTACTTGTTTATACTTTGTCCTTTCCAATCTCAAAATTTATAATGATGCTGATTTCGCCTCCCATAGCCCAGGACGGCGGTTTAGCAGAGAGAACCACACAGGAGCTCCATATTCCATCCACGAACACAACTAACCCTCCTGTCACCAAAGCCTTACTGAGTCTTCCTCTCTGTCCCTCTCTGCCCTACACATTTCAAGGAAATTCATTTTAGAGTCACCCCACATAATGCCATTTAAAAAGAAAATGTTGGGGCCCGGAATGTAGCTCGGTGCCGCCGCCTGCCTCGCAAGTGCAAGGTCCTGAGTTCGGTCCCCAGTCCTTCCGTCCATCCGTCCCCCTCCCCCGCCCCAAAATAAATAAAAATAAAATGTCCTAGAAAGAAAAGTGTGCACCTACGAAGAGCTGAGCATTCCGGAGATTGCTGGTGTCCTCCCATTAGTACACTCGGGACTTACTGCAACTTAGGAAGACAGAAAGAACGCTGCAGTCCAGTCCTCACAAACCTCAACTTTCATGTTGCTTCCGTAATCATACTGTGATTTACAACAACATCCAGAGTTCTGTTTGGATGGTGCTGGGGACTGAACCAGAGACTTGCACACACTGGGCAAATGCTCTGCCACTGAGCTGTGGCCCAGTATCCCCGTATTATGGAAACTAGAGCTCTGCACAACCAGAGACAGCAGAAACCAAATCTTATTCTACCCCTTGCTAGCTGTACAACTTTGGGCAAATTACCAAACCTCTCCCTAGGCCTCTTCCCCAGCTGCAAAACCCAGATGATTAGGCTATCTAGAGTATTATCACACAAGCTGTGAAGGGTGAAGGGCTATAAACTTTACTTATTAATAAATTTGATTCTATGTAAGATGGTAGGAAAGATAATTGGCTAGCAACCACAGCAAACAACTCGAAGGGGAAAACACATCACACTGGGTCAAGGGTATGAACACATCACACACTTGTCTAAAAGTACATGTTCACCTGTTTGCCATATCAAATTTTTTGGATCATTCGATTAGGACAAGAAAGGACAGGTTTCCCAAAAAATATTACACTGAAAAACTAAATTTTTAAAACTCCACAGGTCAGAAAAGAATACAAAATACAGCAAATGATTTGAGGTGTTCAAAAAGGTATGGAGAAAACAGTCTAAGAATCCGGCTGGGACCCATAGTAACCGTGCCTTAGTTCCTTACCACTGACTGGCAGGGCACCTTCCTCTTTATTCAGACATCTTGACAAAAAGTCTGCAGTAGTCCACAGAAAACCAATCTTAGGTGCAACATGTCACACAAAGGAAACTCAAAACTAGAAGGTGGCTGCCATGATTATATGAAGTAGTGAGATGGTTCTTATCCAGTGCTTGCTTCACCCTTGAACTGTGCCTCACCTGACTCTTAAGACCTCACAGAAACTGAGCTCCACCCAGGTACACCGAGGGAGCCGGGGAGTCTTGGGGCAGTCTTCTCAGGCCTTGTAAATCCCTCCTTCCCATATAGCTGCCTTTGTTAAACCACTAATCGAATATCTGACCAACCAGTTAGGCAGGGTGATGCAAGCCTGTGATCCCAGCACTCTAAGAGGCTGAGGCAGGAGGATTACAAATTAAAGCCCAATTTAGTGAGATCCTATTCCAAAATAAGTAAGAGTTGAAAATAGTTAGGGATGTAGCTCAGTGCAAAGGTCCTGGGTTCAGTCCCCACTGCCAAGAGAAAAGAATCCGAGTAAATTCTTTGTGCCAGACAGACTCAAGGAAAGAAAAACAAGAACGCAGGACTTTGCACGCAAGGGAGCCGGCCCGGCAGGTGAGGTAAATGCCAAAAGGGGGCCTGTGCCACAGGT